GGCAAGCCACCTCACATTGTGGCTAAATTTAGAATTTAAAAAGCACCCCCCCCCAACTGGCAAGCCCATCAAAACTTCCCCCCACCCCATTGACAACTATGGTAGTAGCAAGCCCTGTGCGGCTCCCAGCCACCAAGGCTTCTCTCCTCCCCAACAGCAGCAAGGAGCCCTGTGCCAACTCACCCCCACCAAGCTCCGTGACAGTTCCCAGCAGTAAATCCATTTTCTGCGCATGCACAGAGAACGTGGTTTACTTTGGGGTGGATTTAAGTATCCCCCCTATATTTTTTAAAACATGTCAGATTGTTCTGCACACCTCGGGAGTACCCCAAGTGTGCAGGAATATCTGTTGACCCTCCACGTCCCCCAGATCTGCGGAAATAAGTATCCGCACATAGGGGGCATGTTGGGAATTAGATATATAGATGATTCTGAGCAAACATGGGATTTCAAAGGTGATCTTCTCCCCTGCCCCCCCCCACCTTGTTGGTAGGGGACTGTCATGTTAGTACTGTAGTGTACTGACAGAAGTGATGCATACAACCAGTGCAAGGATGTGTGGAAGAAATCCCATCCTGTCTAGTTGGTGGAATTCATGGATAAGTGTAATTCCAGTAATCATTTAATTTGGAGATGAACTTGTGTCAGAAAGTCTTTTACTCCTAGAAAAGAAATATGTTTTCAAACCAGATACTGCTAGATATGGTTCATCAATAAGACTATGAGTTAATCACCTTTTTTTCTTAAGCAATTTCCCCTAAAAATAAATTGCTTTAATTATCATGAATTTCTTAATCTTAAGTAAACTATAATGTTTACCTTTTGAATTACAGCTCATTTTAGTCTCACTGTACATGATTCCTTCTGTCTTTTTAAGGATCCACCTGTGGCAGTAACTCTCGGACTACGGATGGAAGAAATGATTTTTAATCTTGCTGATACACATTTATTTTTTAATGACTTGGAGGTATGTATACACAGTACCTTCCTTTTCAGTTATAATTTGCTTCCAGTGTAATCTTATAGAAGCAGGCTTATTTGATATATCCTCTTACCAAGTTATTTGTGAATATTAGATTGACAGTAACTAGAAGTAATTGACAGTGAATAATATTTAATTATAATAACTTCTCCTAATAATAAAGGAAGTTGTCTCATACCAGCAGTATAGCAGTGAAACTGGGTAACCCAGACAGAAGGGCTTGTTTCTAAATTCCCCAGCTATGAAAGTGGGGGATGGGGTTAAGAACAGCCAGGACTACATTTTAGCAGTAAAAGGGAAGGGTACAAGGACACACCCTTCATTTGACATGTGGCTACTTGCTTCCCTTAAGTTGAGGACTTAATAGTAGGGAGCAAAACTGGGGTGGCTGGCATATCCTGACACACACACACCCTCATTTCCTGCACATACAGTCCAGGATCCTTTAAACTGTGAGGTGACTGCTCCTTCACAGCTTCAAAAGTTCTTTAGGCATATTAATTGAGATCAAAGCATTTCCTTCAGATCCTGTTTACAATGTCCCCAAGTCCTCTCATATTTTCAGGAGAAGCCTTAACCACTGAAGATATTATGGAATGGGGGAAATTAAATTAAGGTTGAGGGATGAATGTCTAACAATACATCCCCCCTACTCTTATCCCCACCACCACCCCTGCCCTAGTTCGGGCTATTGTAAGTTTTTAAAGGCTCTTCTTTTTTTGAAAGTAAAGAATTCCTGATGGGGAGAGAGGAATGAATGAGGATCGGGGGGAAAGTGCTTTATCTCATTTTAATTAATCTATAATAGTGTAATTTTATAGTGCAATAGAGAGAAATGAGAAGGTGGCCAGCCAAAAGGATGGGAAATAAATATAATTCATCCTTTTATTATTTATTATATTAGGCTTATAGCCCACCCTATTCCTGCACAGCAGGACTCAGGGTGGGTAACAACAAGAGCTAACAATACATTAAAACAGTAATAAATTAATCATTGTAAAATAAAATCCAATTCATAGCAACAATTTTAAAATTAAACAATCAAATGGTGATCAAAGATTCAATACAGCTAGTGCGTCTTCTTTCAGAGGAGATTGTGTTTCATGTGTGACCATGGCTGTCAGAATGGTAATTAACAGATGGACTACCAGAGCAAGGGAAGGCCAATGCAGATGGAATTTCTCTGCCTCATCCATAAGCCTGGTGGAACATCTCCATTTTATAGGCCCTGTGGAACTGTAAAGACTCAGAAGACAGACAACACAGGATGTAAATATTTTAAATAATTCTTCACATTTTAAAAAACTAATTTGGGGGAGAAATAACTTCTTTTTTAAAAAAAGTGAAACCCTTTCTTCATAGTATTTTAATAATGGTCTTTAAAATGATTGTATGGTTAAATCCTTGTTTCCCACTTCTGTGGGTCTTCCAAAAGCTTTTGAGCAACCATTTTACAATTTTCTGATTTAGTGCTATAATTTAACAGGAGTCATATTTTTGTTGTTGTTGTTGTTTTAAAGATGATATTGAAATATTATCTTTCAAGGATCCGTTACACCTCAATATAACTGTCTTGTATACCAACCCATTTAGGATAGCTATACTGAAATGTAGGAACTGACAGTTGAGAAAGAAATGGTAAGGAAGTAGGCATTTGCCATTGCTAGACATTGACATTTTCCATGTATTAGTATATCTGTAACTAGATCCCAGCCTTTGAATGAATATTCTGTGGACATTACCAAAAAACAAGGCTCCCATGTCATGGAAGAATTTTCAGAACTCTCATTGCTCATCCTCTGGATTATGGAACCCATGCAATTCAGCTACTCCCATTATTTCCATTCTCCACTCTTAAATTTTATCTTGCTTGTGACATTAATTTGGACATTCATTGGGTGCCACACTTGGTAGGAGCCAGAAAAGCAATCTCTAGAAGATGAGATCAGTTTGTAGGTATTGTATATTTTGGACATGTCTAAGTGTTTGGTGAAATCTGTGGACAGGAAGTATATATAAACTCATACAAGGCTGAATTTGAGAAAAACATAATAAATATTTAAACAATTATATGTATAACTGCATTTTAAATGTATAATTTTCAAAGGTATTACCCATAAAGACTAAGCACCACTTTTTAGTTTAAAAAATATTACAATATGTTGCAGTTTTACAGTGAATTGCAGGAAAATAAAATTTTGTTAGCTAGTTATATTTAGAAGTTGGATTGAGAAGTTCAAGTATATTTTACTTCTTTATCATAAATTGTGAAAATAACTCACCCTACAATGCATTTTTTAACTATCAAGAAAAACATTTCTGTACACTTGGCAGATAATCCATACCAATTTTACAGCTAATTCCAGCAGATACTAGTGAATGGGAGTTGTTGTTCACCCTCAGACTGAAATTTCTAAGATCTGCTATATAATAGGATTTTTGTTTTTACTGCTGTGAGTCATTGTTTTTATTGGATAATGAAATTACTGCCAATTCCAAAAGGATAGTTTTTGTGGGTCATCTGTAGGTTTTGCACTCTTTATTAAAAACGTCAAGTTCTGAAATATTTCTACAAAAAACTAGTACACTGAGATGATTTAAATTAATGTTACTGCAGTAAAAATCAGTTATTGTACATGAATTTGTGAACACTAAGTAATGAAAAATATATTTTATCTTTCTTAGTTTTGAACTTGCACAACCAGTGGCCCACTGTGACTTGAGTGTAGCCAGTTCTGTAGCTGTTTTGAAAGGTATTTTACCTTAAAATTAATGCAGACCTTTTCCCTCGCCCCAATTTCTATTCCACCTCCTATTATGATCAGACAACCATATCCTGATGTTATGATACCAAATTACTAGTTTCCATTGGGAATGGGAGATAATTAATTTAAGCTGACATCCTATGTGTGCTTGAATTACATAGTAGATTAACTATGTAGTGTTCACTTAAGTGGGATTGTGCAGGTCCAAGTATGTTTAGGATTTTAGCCTAAAAAGTGAACAGTTCTTTTGAAATTTGATACAAATATTTCCATTATTTTTCTTCCAGATTTTCTAGCATTTTGGGAAAATATTAATATTTGTGTTGAAAATAATTCCATTAAACTGTAAATTTATATCTAAAATCTTTTTTTTAGTGCTCATTCATGAATACCATAACAACAAGTGGCAATGTTCTTAAACTAAAGTAGAAACAGAAAATGAGAAATAGGAAAACCATCTTTTCCATTTATTAACACTGCTATAGAAAATGTCTTCAGAAGCAAAATGAAAAGAGAAATAGGGAAAAAAGAATGCCTTTGATATATATTTTCATTCCACGAATTAATGACAGCCATTTTCAAAATATAATAATAAAGAAAGTAAATGAGAAAAGGAAGGACTTAATCACTGTAATCCTCTCATATATAGCTTCATTATTAGATTGTAATGGACATTTATCACTTAAATGTTAATTGTAAATGTGCTGCTTATTGGATTTACAACAGCCAGGCTAGCTATTGTGTAACTTTAGCTTATAATACCTTATTTTAAAATGTTCCATATGTCTCTATGTCTGCCTACCAACCATCTCATCCTGAACTGCTTCACTGCCTTGAGTGGGAGAGTTTATCTTGGAAAAATCAAGAGGGTGCAAGATGATAATAAATGTACCGTTGAATTTTTTTGTTGGAGAAAGCCACGTCAAATGCCATTTTTCCAAAGCTTCAGGTTCTTTCTTACATTGCATCAACATCCAAACTTCATTTTCGTTCTTCTCATCATTTTTAGCCTAACACACACACAGCTGTTACTGTATCTCTGTGTTTCTACCTGCTGCACAAATAAAAGTTGTAAAGCAATATAAACCAGGAAAGTGTCAGGCTTGGCCCCAGTACTAGTACTATTACTTTGCCCCAGTACTAGTACAAAATAGTACACTACTATTTTGGTCTATTTAAAAAAATTAGGAAATCTAGTTATGAACCTCTGGGTTTCTAAACAGTTTTGTCCTGGAGGTCCAAACGCACTAGCCCTGCTGATGTATTAGGATGCTTTTGTATTTGTGTGCACAGGAGCAAGGAGTTGAATAGGAAGGATCATGAAGTCATCCTCTCCCTCTACACCAAACACCCATCCCAAATTTTTGACAAACATGCTACTGAAACAAAAGAATCAGGAACCAACCAGGCATACTTACATATGAAGGTGGTGAGCTCCCCCTCACTGGCAGTCTTTAAGCAGCGGCTGGACAAACACTTGCCAGGGATGCTCTAGGCTGATCCTGCATTGAGCAGGGGGTTGGACTACATGGCCTTTATGGACCCTTCCAGCTCTGTCTTTCTATGATTCAATGCTCAGGAGATGTATTAAAAAAAAAAAAAAGCTCCATTGCAGAACATTTTAATTGTGAGCAATGTCACTAGACCATCTCTCCTGTGAGGAGGATGGGTAGCAATTTGCTGATCCACACTAGAAGTCTAGCACTGCTGTTCTGTTCCAAATAAATAAATGAAGAATGTCTAAAAATGTAATATTACTACTCAGAAGACTATATTGGGTTGCCAACAGCATCATCTAAACTCTTTTGCGTGAGTAAGCAAATTAGGGAAATTCCAGAAGACTAAACAGTTAGTATACATATGGAAATGTAATCTGAAGGATGAGCTGTGGTTGAGGAGAAAGGGTAAGGAGTGGAGAAGCAAGCAACCCATGAGAAAGCAACCTAGAGATGCTAGGTCTGGATTGATTTGGTGCAGGAAAAGGAGGAAAGAAGAAGAGCTTCATGAAGTAGGACCCGAGGGAAAGGAAGATTAATCAAAATCTGCTAGGATAAGGGGAATTGGAGTTGATACCTACCTGCTTAGCTACCCACTTAGTTGTACACATTCATATCAATATACATACACATTTGGTGGCCATCTCATATTTGGGGTATTAGTCAAGATAGGCAAACATATGAAGGGAAGTAAGTGGTAGAGCACATGCTTTGCATATTGAAGGTCCCAGATTCAGTCTTACAAATTTCCAGTTAGCAGGTCAGGGCATGGAAGAAAGAAGAGCTGTTACCACTGTCATAGTGAACAATAATGAGCTAGTGATCTGGTTCAACATAAGACTGTTTTAATTTTTTTTTTCAGGACCAAGCAAATATCAAATACAAAGTAAGGGGGTGGCTATCGGTTGTCTGTCCTCTCAACTTCCTCCTGTCTTTATGCCTGTATTTCCATGCCCATTTGGTGGGTGTTTCATTGGTTCTTTAGAAATTCAGGAGCTGAACCTGACCAAACATGTAACAAACCTCAATGGCACTTTAAAAAAACTTTTTGAGGTTGGAATGTAGGGACAGAAAAACAGAAGGGAATGGAATGTTTAGCTTTTTTCCCTTCCTGCAGCTTCTTCCAAGACACTTCCTAGCTCCCACCCCCTAGCCCATGGCTCCTGAGAATGCAGGCATTTGGAACTCCCACCTGGAAGGGTAGATCTGAATGAGAAAAATGCTATGCAAGGACAAGGTCACACAGACACAATACATATTGTTTCTCCTCTTCACTTCATTAAGGTATTTTTTTGTAGGAACTTTCCCCATAACATCTAAATATTACAATTTTAATACAAATATGTGGAATATAAGTATGTTTTGAACATAAGTATTGAATTCAAATTTTGCAGTTACATAGTTGTGGTCAGGGCTATTTTTGGGCTGGAACACACCAGAATGGCATTCTGGCTGCGATCCAGCTTGGCCACGCCCCCTGCTCCCAGCAGCACTCAGTCGGGCTGCTGGAGCAAAACAAAGCAAGGTAAGTTTCCCTGGCCCGCCCACTCAGGGTGCCTGGGGCCTTGCTGGTGTGGGTGGGGACTCCCTTTTAGTACAGGGAGCTGGGAGGCCTCACATGCCTGATCTCTAAGCAGAGATAGGGCGCGTGGGAACCTTTCAGCTGGACCCCTGCACTTAAAGAGACTCCCTTTAAATCCAGGGAGCTGGGAGTCCTCGCACGCTCGATCTCCAAACAGATATAGGGCGTGCGGGGCCCTTTCAAGCCGGCTCCCTGCATTTAAAGAGACTTCCTTTAAGTGCAGGAAGCTGGGAGGCCTCATGCGCCCTATCTCCCAGTGGAGATCGGGCGCACGGGGCCCTTTCAAGCTGGCTCCCTGCACTTAAAGAGACTCCCTTTAAGTGCAGGGAGCCAAAGGCCCCTGCCCGCCCAATCTCTGAGCGTAGATCGGGTGCATGGCCGACAGCCACCCCTCTCCCTCCTCTTTCTCAAGAGAGAAGGGAAAGGGGTGGCTGCAGGTGTTGGGGCTTCTTTCCTTCTCTCCATTTCTCTTTCTTTCCCTTTTTCTTCTTTCATTCTCTCTCTCTTTTTCTTTCTTTTCCTCTTTCCACCTTTTTTCCTTCTCTCTCTTTATGACAGACTGTGTACTTAAAAACTGAGAAGTGTTGTGTAAACAGATTTTTCACAGATTCTTTAATTCTTCACCGTGCCAGAGAGCCTTGAGTGATTTCAGCTCTAGCTTGGAAGAGTCGAGTACTGACAGTTTTGGAATTTAACCCTGACTGAAAGCAGTTTTAAAACAGACTGGAGTACTGGGGAAAGTTGGCAAGGACTAGTGGGTAGTTAGATGGAGACTCCCATTCAGGCCAAAGAAGGTGGATAGATCTTCTAGTAAGAGGAGAATTTCCCTACCCAGTCAAACAGAGAGTTAGCTCTGGACAGTGCAGAGATCCCTGATCTGGTGTGGTTAAAAATGCCTTTAGAGACCTTAAGAGTCAGTTAAAAACTCGATGAGTACTGGTGTTTCAAGAGAAGGGGTTTGGGTACTGGAAAGAGTATTCCAGCCTTGTGGGAACCAAATAAGTCAGAGAATACTCAAAGAAAATATGCTGGAGTGTTTGGGGAAAACACTGGAACACAAGCCTCTACCTATTATGCTAATAAGTTCCTGCTGGGCTTTTTCTACAAAAAGAGCCCTGGTTGTGGTATTAGATTGGCACTAGAGATACAACCGTGTAAGATGGGGCAGAAATCTAGTGTGAACTGGTTGACTGAGATGGCTGTACATTTATGCAGTTTTATTTGTGTTAAACACAGCTATTTCTCTAAAAAAAAAGACTGGAGAATTGCATAAACACTAAACCATTCAAAATTTCAAAAAGCCAGATCGGGTCTCCCCCCCCCCCCCCCCCCCCCGTTGCCTCTGGAGACTATGGGAGGTTGCAATTTTTGTCGAAATTTCTCACCACCTTGGAATAATCTGTTTTATCTATTGTCTGTACTGTATTTTATTATTGCTTTTTAATTTAATCTAGATTATTTACTGTTGTATTCTTATGTAAACTGCCCTGAGCCCTACATGTAGGGAAGGGCAGTCTGAAAGTCCAAATAATAAATAAAAGTCCATGTGTAACATACCTTATTGTGAACAGCAGTAGTCTCACCATTCTACATGCAGTTCAAGCAGCTGTTTTAAGCACTGAAGTGGTTGGCAGGTAGATTGCTTGGAAATAACTAGATCTCAATGTGAGACAAAGGATCATTTTTTAAATATATTTAATTGGTTGGGGGAAAAGAGATCCTCAAAATCACAAGTTAGAGCTTCCAAGTACAGTGATAATAAGCTCAGGAGTACCTCAATTTGGAAGAAGGTCAAAGCTGATTCTGTTAAGAATAGAATAGACTTTCAGCATGTTTTTCAGAGGTGTCTGATGAAATAGACTATGCTGCAATAAATCTGATAGTCTTAAAATACCACAGAACTCCTGTTCGCTTTCACTGCACCAGACTAACATGGCTATCCCACAGGAATGATGAGCTTGCTTATTAGACTTCAGTGTGCAGATTCTGCCATCTTCTGGTGGCACAACTGCAACTCAGCATTCAGAAAAGCAATGTCTTTGAAGCATAACCAAATCATGTAAATATAAATTATAAAAAATTGAAACAAAGACTCTTTCAACAGGAATGTGATCAAGTACATATAGATGATGTTTCTTCAGATGACAATGGACAAGACCTAAGGTAAGCCATGCCTTTTAAAGCAAAATTAACAATAATATAAGATAAGTTTTATTTTGTAGGAAGAAAAGGTATTCACTGTTACATATTTTGGGTGTTTGCAGTACCTACAGTTTTGCAACTGATGGCTTCCATGCAGCTGCAAGTAGTGCAAACCTTTGTCTGCCAACAGGTGTAAGAGGAGGAGTAGACTGGATGAGGAAGCTGGCATTCCGTTACAGAAGAGTAAAAGAATTATATAATACTTACAAGAACAATGTAGGAGGTAAGTGTTTGATCGTTGAAAGATGCTAGCCACTTCCCAAGCAAATTATAATCCTCTTGATAAAAGTAAAGTCTTACATTTCACATTATTGTTGAAAGCATTCTGAATCTTTTGGTGCTTTAGTACTGTGTTGGTACAAAAGAAAATGGAGACAACCATTTTTTTAAAAAAAAAATTAATGTGTCCCAACCAGTGTTCCCTCCAAGTTGAGTTAGTGTGAGCTAGCTCACAGTTTTTTAGCTTCTGGCTCACCCTTTCTTGTTTTAGCTGAGGAAGGATGGCTCCAGAGCAAACTAATTTATGCAGGAGCCAAATCACTCGCTCACAACTTTCATGCCATCAGCTCACAAAGTAGAATTTTTGCTCACAAGACTCCACAGCTTAGAGGGAACCTGGCTGCTGCATAAATTAGTTTGCTCTGAAGCCATCCTTCCTGAGGTAAGACAAAAATGTGTGAGCCGGAGGCTAAAAAACTGGGAGCTAGCTCAAACTAACACAGCTTAGAGGGAACACTGGTCCCAACTAAGGAAACTTCTATATCGCATCAAAGTTTTAATACTGGTAAAAAGTAAAGCTCAGCTATGCATTCTCAATTACACTTTAGTACAGCCTTTGATACACTGTACCCCTTCAGGATCATGTCTGAATCCTTTCCCACATGAAGAACTCTCTTCCTGTGAAACACATCATGTCAGATAGGTTTCCCTGATATGGTAATTTTTGTGTACAAGTAGGAGGAATATTGTTTTTTGTGTTAGGAGCATTCAAACATGAATCTTCAGCTGTGGTCTAAAGTGATACATTCCAAAAATGACTGCATTCATGACAAAGAAAAATATGTTTTTACACCCTGCTTTTCCCTACTCTAAGGAATCTCAAAGCAGCTTACCTTCCCTTCTTCTTCCCACAACAGGCACTTTGTGAGGTAGGTGAGGCTGAAAGAGTTCTGAGAGAACTGTTACTGCCCCAAGGTCACCCAGCAGGCTTCATGTGAAGGAGTGGAGAAGCAAACCTGGGTCTCCAGATTATTGTCCACCACTCTTAACCACTACACCATGCTGGCTATGATGGTTCTAAATATACAGTTCAGCTCTGCATCTAACATTTTGAAACTCAGAGAAGTGGAGAAGGAAAGCAGGAAGCTTTGTTTCTTTATGTAACAACACTCAGCCTTCTAGCCCCAAGGGTGGGCAACAATGGTAAGGGGGAGGGGGAAGAACAAAACTCACAAAAAACTCACAAAAACACAGGCACAGAAGACAGGCAATGCCTGCTGCTAAAAGGCAACAGAGAAGGCACCCAGCAAATCTCCCTCAGGAGAGAGTTCTATAATGGGATATAACCACAGAAAACACTCTCTACTTGGTCACAATCCACCTAATCTGAGAATATGGGAACTCCCACAGAAGGGCTTCTGTATATGATCATGGGGTGATAGGTTCATTCAAGCAGATGCAAGTACCGTGGCTTCAGACCGCTTAGGTCAAAACCAGCACTTTGAACTGGGGCAAGCGGATTCTTTTAATGCAGTTGCTTATTTAGAAGAGTTTCTGCTAACAGGTTAACCATCATATTCTGAACAAAAGAAGCCTCAAACATATATCTAGGAACCAACAGATTTCATGCAACTAATGAACTAAGAGACTACAGCCTGCCAGACTCCAATGAAGAGAATCTTTACCCAGATTTTGATAGTCTGCAGAGAACTCTCTTAGACAAACAGGAAGGCCATTCAAACCCTCCACATGTGAAATCTGAGTTTTATATAACCTTCTTAATAATGTAATATGCAAAAATTGTAGACATTATCAATACAGTTTCACTGAACCACAGTGATTTCAAAAGAGGTCCTGAAACCATATTTGGTGTCTCTTGCTTTTGCATAAGCAGTTGGCATATGCTTCTTTCATCTTCCTTTCTCAAAAAAGTTATGGCTGAAGCTAAAGGATACAAAACAATTCAGAAATACCTATCTGTGCCCATATTATTTGTGTGTGTGCTATGTGCCATCAAGTTGCTTTCAACTCACAGTGACCCTATGCATTAACGACCTCCAAAACTATCCTCTCATTAACAGCCTTGCTCATGTAAACCGGCTGAGAGCCATGGCTTCCTTGACTGAGTCCACCCATCTCATGCTGGGTCTTCCTCTTTTCCTGCTGCTTTTAGTTTTTGCTATAGCATTATTGTCTTTCCCAGTGAGTCATCTTCTCATGATATGTCCACACTACATTCTTATATGAAGTGATTTTATACGCTCTGCTCAAATTTTGTATTGGTAAGTAAGTGAATTAGCTAAATATGGCTTCTTTCCATGGATAAATTTCAGTTAATTGTTTCAAACTATTGTGTAATGGCAAAATCTACACAT